TGCCATAAAACCTCTACATTCAATCAATCAATCAATCAGTACTGTTATTAACCGAGAAGTTTTGTTTAGCCTGCACTTTTTTGCCTATTACGTCATCAGCCAGTTCCGTAATTATCTAATTTAGGGGGTTAAGATTCATACCATCAGGTTTCTCTTGGTAGTGAGTATTAATTCCTCGATTAAAGTTTTGGATATTTTGAATAGCGACATTATTATCTATCATCATATTTTGTCTATCATCATATTTTGGAATAGAGGGGTCTAATAAGCATCCGACTAATTCCGAAACATTAGTAATTAAACTGTTAAAGTATCCAAATCTAACAACAGCAAAGCGCTTATGTTCGGTATTATAAATCTTAGTAATCTTACTGCTGTATTCATCACAGCTTAGAAGATCAGAATTATTTAATTCACTAGCCTTATCAGGGTTATTTATTCTAGAGAAGATTTGAGTAGGAGATTGCTGGCCTTTAGAAAAGGCCTTTTTCGGATTCATTAATTCTTAGCAAGGGGATCGAAATTAAGGGGGGATCCTCAACCGCGATCTCAGAATTATCAGGGGAGCCTGACAAAGCCATCGTAGGTGGGTCAAGCATACACTGGTCCAACCCAGAAGAAAACAAACACCTCCTAGCAGCTTCGTTAATACCGGGCAGAACAAGTCTTAGGGTTTCCACTGCTATTTGGTCAATACATTACCGAGACACTGGTCACAAAAAAAGCTCAGGAACAGCAAAGAAATACTGCAGCGTCCTACTCTCAATTCGGAGCACTGCAGCAATCTGAAGATAGCACTATTGCCTTACTCTCGATTCAGGTCTCTCTGCTTTAAAAATAAAATAATTTTTTTAACCTTGTGGCTGGCGCAGTATAGCCATGTTTGGCTCTTGTGCCAATAAACTTGAATCAACCAACCCACGACGTCTCAGGCTGGAATGTGAGAATAACTGAGCAGAATCGCACCTCCATTTATACTCCAGACGAAAATAAATCCAGTATGACGTCAAAGAACCAGTTTTTTCCAGGCGATTCCAAGAAATTTTTTTAAATACGTGGAGGTATTTAAAAAAATTTGGCTGAAATTTATTTATAAGAATAAATGAAATATAAATAATGAAGCACTTTTTAAATAAAAAAAAAAACATTTATTGACACATTTTGACATCAGATATCAAATCAAATTATTCAATAAAAAGCGCGATATGCAGAGAAATATGAAATATTAGCACAAAAGCATATTATTATAAAATCTAGACTGCTTATCATGAGTAAAATAGAATTAAATTATTAGCACTTGACTGTTGCACATTAAATTTAGTTTTTCAGTCACAGAATTATTTAAAATCCTCCGGCATAGTAGGTTACCCCCTCTTTATTTTTATTTTTTTTGTTCTCCGAAAGCTTTTTGTATTTTTTGCAATTCTTTTTTTTTNTGAAATTTTTTTTTTTTTTGCTGAACATTTGATTGTTGTCTCTTTTGAGATGCTCTACTGTTGTCTTTTTTAGAAGCTATTACCATCGAACTTTCATCAAGTGAATTGTCTTGACTAGCGATTTCTAAGGACTTGACGTAGCCTAGGTTAAATTCGCTAATCGCTGAAACGACGGCAATATCTAGTCTCTTTTTTGAGATAAATATCTCTTTGGGACATTTAGCCCAAATGCAGTGGTGTAAACATTCATTGGCATTATGGGTGCCAGCTTTAATGCACCTTTCCAGAAGTTCCGTTGAGGCCAGTCTCTGGTACACTGAAACAGTTGTTGAAAACATATTACCAAAGTTGTTTTCATTGTTGTGTGCTTCTTAGGCTTACAGCCTGTTGCTAGTGCTCTTTGAAAAAAGCACCAAGACTGTGCTGCGGTTTTTTATCACTTGACATACAGTGAAATAAAGTGGCATAAATTGCAGTTTTCATTTTTTCTACGTCCGGAGTTTATTTCTTAAATTTCTAATTTCGGAATTTATTTCTCAAGCAAAAGGAATCACTTACTTAAATTTAGCTGTCAAATTCTTCAACTTGAGTTGAATAGCAACTGATGTTTTATTGAAGCAATAAAATTTCATATCATTGCTAATTCTTTCATAAACTGTTTCATTTCTCTTTGCCTTTAGCAAATAATTGTGGTGTGTCTTCTACAAATTAATTAACAATTCGGTCTCACTTTCTGACCAAGATATTTTCCTTTGCTTATCTTCGATTTTCGAAGACGAATCTCGATTTGCGCGCGCTAATCTAGTTTCTCAAACTAGATCAACTGTAATCCAGTTCACTCTGACTTAATCCATCACGTGACCTACTGAAATCTAGATTACGCTTTAATCTGGATTTACTTGGGCAGTGGAAACAGGGTATTATTAGGTGTCATATTTGATCAGAAACTCACTTTCAATAATCATATTTTACATCTAAGATAACGGTGTGAGAGGACTTTGAATATATTACGCGTTTTGTCGAATACCTTTTGGGGTGCGGATCGTATCGCCTGACTCAGATTGTACAAATACTATCACGTATAGATTACGCTTGTGCCGTCTACGGCACTGCCACTGCACCCAACTTAAGGTTATTAGATACAGTGCACCATACGGCTTTACGTATATGTAGTGGCGCATTCCGCACTTCCCCTGTAGAAAGTTTGTATGTTATTTTTCATCAATCATTTCTAGATTTACGCCGCATGTAATATTATTTGGCTTATTACTATCGTGTGAAATCTGGCAAATCTCATCCTCTAAAGCAAGATGTCCTTCCATCAAGCTTGAAACGACTGTATGAAGCTAGACCTTCATACGTCCGTCCATTTCATGCTCTCGCGCGTTCTCTTATACAAACATTTAACATTTGTGAGGTGCCAACACAATCAATAGATCATCTTCTCATATCACCATGGATCATCGTGATACATATGTACATATTTGTCGTGATACAGTGTACATATTTCATACCAAATAAGGTATGAAAGTGGAAGATGTTCCACTCGAAGGCGTGATTAAAATTTCTCAGAATTATTCAAACCAGAATGAAGCGGTTTTCTCACCACCTGCGAGACGAAGGTTGAATCAATGACATGAGAAAATGCCTTAAACAGTAATCCGGGGTGGTAAGACAAGAAGGGGACCAGTGGCCTTACAGTGGGGTCACTCGACCTTGAATCAAAAAGAAAAGATGAAACAAAATTGTTGCTACCGAGAAAGAAAAAAGAAGCATTTGCGTTTCTCTTATAAGAGCTTGGGGTGAAATTAAGTAAAGATTCAAATTAGAAAAGGAAAACAAACGAAAATTAAATTAATGCAATGAAAAGATTAAATTAATAAAATTTAGAAAATTCGTCACACATCATTGTGACAGGTATACAGGCAGGATTTTTTCTGAAGTCTCTTCTGACAAATAAATTTTCATAATATTATGTGATAATGATGTTTCCTTTTTTGCCAGAGCCCGCTGATAAAAACACCAGGAAGCATCACCAGCATAACAAATGCCCTGTAACAGGGCATTTGTTATGCTTCGGTCTGGCGTCCGTTGGTGTGCAGTGCATAATTGATGCGAAAACTGCAGTCTTCATTTTCTGTACATCAGGAACATTATTCTTGATGGCTTTACGGTAATAGTTCTGCAACATCGATATATTCGCCTCTATTAGACCTCATTTTTTACGCCCACCAAGTGTAACTTTTTTTACGCCACTCTTTCACTGTGTTGCGTAAGGCAGTGTAATGCGCTTGGCAACATGGTTAATGCACTCTTTTTTTTTATTTCCACATCATTTCCATAGATTTTGGTCTCACAAATTGAAAATGTCTTTGAATCTCCATCACTGAGAATTGAAACATAACGCATGTTACAGGAATCAACAGGGCGTTCCCATATAATTTTAGCAGCATGCATCTCCATTGATCCTGATGTGCCGCTGAAGTTTTTATCACATTCGGAAGAGTGGCCTTCGTACCAAATTGCGAATTCTGGTGCATTTTTTCCAAACTGCTTCTCTGTAACAGTGCAGTTTTGGCAATACTTTGAAAGAACTTCAAAGTCAACAACAAGGCCGGTGAGAACATCGATGACCACACCTATTCCTAAATTGGAGGTGTGACCTCGTTTCTGCCAGGTGACGTCAAACGACACACTTAGATTCTTCTGTACACGGAGATGAAAAAATTGATATATTTCCACATGAGCTTTTCTCACAGTATCGCGAGAAGCTTTAAATATCTTTTCCTTAAATTCCGCATTCTTATTACTCAGGTTGCGAAGACATTTCGTGAACGTTTTTCTGTCCATAGTAGGCATGTTCAACACTGAGGAAAAAGTTTCCATGGAAGCATGGCCTCTCCCAATTGATAAGAAGGCACTTACAAGTTTATTGTTTACATCAAATGACATGCTTAACTTTTCTCTGACACTTGGGAAAGTACTGCCCTAGTTCTCGCCACACTCCTGACACAGCAGCTCCAATTTTATGGAAAATCTAAGGGATTGGTGCTGATTAATGTTCAGTGACTCTTTACCACAGGTTTTACAAGGCACATTCTGAAGGAGTTGACTAAACATTGCACTATGTGTAAAGACAAATGTTGCTTGAGGTTTTTCTACAGCCACTGGAATATCAGAAATAGGGCTATCATCAACCTATGTTGCTTTCGATTAATGGATCAAGTTCTTTTAATTCGTTATATTTATCAATCAAATTTTCGTAATCGTATCTAAGATCCTGTACATCAACTTCTCCCTTTAATCTTAATTTCGCGTCTATCTGATTAATTATTTGAGTAGTAAGTTTGCTAACAGTTGTTCTTTTAACTTTCGCGATGTCGATTGCAGACATTTTTAATAACAGAAATCCACCCAATATATATACATACAAAATTGCTAATAGATGTTGAGTGCCATTGGACGTAACTATAACACGCCGCCAGATGGCGATAATAACTGATCACCGGACAATGAAAAACGACCAGACAATGATCTGGTAACGAGAATACGTTCTTCTCCCTGCTATTTTCTATGAGTGTTTTTTTTTTGTTCTTTAGTGATTTTAAGTGTCATTATGGGCTTCTTCTTTGGATGTGTGCGATGAGAAGCTGGGTCTGGATAATATTCATACTCATCTTCTGCATCTTCCATATTGTAAGGATCGTTGACTTGCTCTATGTGATAATTCCATGTATGTCTTGATTGAGGCAAATGTGGATGAGGTTTATCTAAATCATAAGGATTTCCTAAGGCCCTTATAATATTGGCCCCCAGGGGCACACTCTTATGTGACGGGTACAGCGTCCCCGGGGCCCCGAGCTGGACCTGAGCATACTTCAATTTCTCCCTTGCGGCGGTCTTGTTTTGAGTTTCTGACTTTCACATTTAAGTACGTTGACCTAGTGAGCGAAAATTATTTTATTTACTTTCAAATTCTGGATATCATTTGCAGAATATTGGTCACTAGACTCATGATCTATATTCTCTTTTCTGGCTACTTTGATATAATTATTAATCTTGTGGCGATTCCTTATTTGTTATCAATTCTCTTCCTTATCGTGGTTGCCAGATTAACTGGTAAGGACCTTTCGTCTTGGTTCAGTGTTATGTTGGACCCTGATGAGAAGAAACCACCCGCGTGTTCGCCGTGCGTGGAGACCCGTGTCCCTGGAAAAGGGGATCCTTGTAGTTGAGGGGCATCCTGGTACCCCAATACACTGCTTTGGCCCCTGCTTCTGGCAAACGGGAAGTGCATATTGGCCTGTATGCATCAATTTGCCAGTCACGAATGTCATCTGTTGGCTAGGGTCAAGCCCGGGGTAGAGGCTGCTCTAGGGGTGACTTTCGGGCGTATAGCTATTGGTCAGCATCGGTGTAGAGTAGCAGATTTTATCTATTTCTCGCATCCCCTGAGGTGGGTGGTGTCGCCGATAGTGGAAGTTTTTTTTCCCTTCCTATGGCTGAAAATGAACAGGTGTTCAGTTCCGCTCACCAGAACAGAAGCGGACAGCCTTACCTAGTTTTAACCTATCAAAATGTTCAAATTATGACCCCTCTAACGCAAAGTTCCTTATTCTAAGTTCTGCAGAAGAGAAACTATCTTTTATGCCACCTTTTCTAGTTCAAAAAACGATTGAGACACACATTGGGAATCCAAAAAATGTCAAACCCATGTCATCTGGAAACTTATTAGTGGAAACAAATTCTAAAAAACAAACTGCTTCACTTTTAAAATTGAATCTAATTGGAAACGTTAAAATTACAGTAACCCCTCATAACACCTTAAATATTTCTAAAGGCGTAATTTCAGACAAGACATTACAATCTATACCAATCTCAGAAATTTTAGGTCTTAAGAAACCGCTCTTAAACCAACTCAAACAGCTAAACTATTACGCATGCGCAGTTCGTTTCTGTTCAGTTGCGGTTAGGGAGATATTACAGGGCTCAGGGTCGACTTCTTCGCAGAGGATATCTTCAGATTCTGCATTGGCTACAAATCCCGCGTGTCTGAAGCAATTAAAAACAGTTTGCGAAGAAACTGAGGCCTCCAACTTCTATGCACATAATTGATCGCGTCTAAAACGGAAACTTCAAACTTGTCATTTTTATCCAATGCTTTTATCAGGTCCTTTACTAGCATTTTTTTGTCCCGAATTATCCCTTGATCTAATGGCTGAAGAAGTACAGTAACAGTTGGAGGAAGGAAAACGATTTCAATATCTTTCGGGCTGACTATGGGCTGTGCAATTATCGACAATAAGGGTAACTTTTCTCTTTTGGCACGAAAACTGGGAATCCAATTTACGGATATGTCGTTCCCAAATCGTTGTAGTCATCCATGCATTTGAATAAGCTTCATATTCATTTCCATTCATATTCGCTCCCAGCAAAAGTGTTCGACGTTGCTAGCTGGCTTTTCCAGTGGTGCATTTTTCGCCCTTAAACGATAGTTCTATCAGGCAAAAGACGATAAAATAAGCCCGTTTCATCTAGATTAAAAACATTCGAGGCATCAAACCTGGATAAAATGTCCTTGAGAACACTATTCCTCCAATTTTCTATAGCATCAACAGCTGCGGCTTCCCCACAAATCGTTTTAAAAGAAAGACAATTTCTGTCTTTGAAACGCTCCAGCCAACCATTGCTGCAATGGAAACCTTCTATGTTCAACTCCTTAGCAATTTTTCTTTAAGAATGACAGAAGAAATAGCCACGTTTTGCAATCTTGTATGCTTTAACCATCGAACTAAAATCTCCTCGATCTCGTCAAACTTTGATTTCCTCATTCTCTTTCTATTGCCTTTGCAGTCTGCTTCTTCAATGGTTTGCTTTGATGATAGAAAATCACTTAAAAAAGTTCTCGGAATACTGTGTTCTTTGGCAAAAGCTGTTTTCGAAACATTTGACTTTTCAAAAAGTCCAATTAAGTCCTTTTTTTTCTTTAAGAGATAACGAGGTAAGTTTTCGCTTTCCCGGCATTTTGAAACGTAATCAAATCACAATTTTGTAAGAAAAAAAGGGCCCTTATAGCGGGGCTTACGCGCTATGAAATGAAGTCCCACTGAAGTACGTACAATAAAGAAAAACGTCAACTCTCGATTGAGTCGGAGCAAGAAGTGCGAACTTTGAACGATTGGTATGCAAAATTCCCAGAATCCCCTAAAAGGAAAGGAATTCTCACAGCTGTAGAGCGAAGTTCGTGGATGGTCAGAAATTCCCCGAGATACTTAAAGTGAAAGGGGCGGATCTGAAAAGATAACAAAATGGTATAAAAAGTGCGAAAAGAGATAGGTTTGCCATTTTTGGGGGTCACGAGTTATCCGGAGTAGAATTAAATTCGATGACGGGTAAAAGAGGGTTATTTTCCATTATTGTCCATGAGGCTTAGTCGGGATCATAGGAAAACGACGACTGCGGAGTGACGACTTAATGAGGTTTTACTGTATTTATAAAATAAGTACTATATATTCTGCAATAGGTGAAAAAATAACATCATTATAATTATTTCTTGTATCTTTTCTCAGACGTTTCAGACTTATAGGAAAAATATGATTATCATCCTTCCGGTGTTACTCTTTCTATGACAAATTCGGTTTTCTTTAGATCCGAGTGTGTTTTGGGGTAAAAACAATGATGGCCATTAATATGAATCCAGTTAGTTGGTATTACACCGTATGAGTGTTCTTCTTCCGTTAATAAAACTACCGCATATTCCATGCTCTACACCTGTGTTGCATATGGCAGCCAAATATCTTGAAAATGTTTGTTGAGATGACTTGATAATAGTTTTATTATTCATTTCCTACAGTTAACAAATTTTTATCATTTATGTAAGTAAATATAGATTAAAGCACTTCTTTCAAGTAACTATAGATGAAATGATGTATTGTGTTTCTCATAGTTAAACTACTACATAACAGTTAAAAAAAATGTAATTATAGTTAATAAGCATTTTCAAAGCTGTTATATTTGCCAGAATAAATAGACTACTTTTCATGCTTTCTAATACAAAGTCAAAAAGTATAAAAATTCCTGGGCAAAGCAAGATTGAAATTGAAAGGGGATATATCGATTTTTAAATATATAAATTTTTTTAATATAACTGGCCCTGTATAAAATAAAAGTTGTCTAAACTCAGTTGCCTTTCATCTCTTTACATCATTTAAATGACGGGGTTTTCTAGAAAATTCTAAGGAAACGCAATTTTTTAAGGCATTTAATTCAGAAGAAATGCTTTCTATTATGCGAGAGTTAAATTTAATAGGTGCTGGTCCAAAAAATCCACAGATAGACAAGCGATCTTACCACACCTAGACAAACTAGTTGCATGTAATCTAAAGGTAAACTATGAACAAAATTAATATCTGGAATGAGCAGCACTCTGAAACATGCAAGTCTTCATCACTTAAAAATGTATAGTAGGGTCCTTTCAGCTGCTGTAAATTCAGTAAACGCTACACGATTATTTACCCATTCACCAACTTGTTAGCATTTTGTGTATGAACTATACCCGGTATGCCCTTTAGTTCCCAAAAGGAAAAACTTAGCTAGTGCATTGCAATTGAAGCCTTTAATAGATAATATTTTTTACTCGGCTACTCTGAATCTTTGTTATTAATATTATACTTTCTTCTATGAATTCCTTTAGATAAACGGAACAATTATTAGGCTTTCCTTTCCCACAATATATGCCTATAGAGAATACAACGGATTTCAAAGAATGGAAATTTGTTACAAGACCTTAAACAAGACCAAATTCTGTGTAAGTGCTTTTGAATAAAAGCAAGCAGGCCATGAATATTAATCAGGAGTTGAACGCTTGAAATATTTTCTGTCAAAGCCTTCAACGATCTGCAGATATTTTTCTTTATTCCAATATTGAAACACTGGGCAGGTTGAACAGCCCTCGAAACGACACAAGGAGGAGTCTCAGCAAAATTTTAGCTTCTAATGGTAAATCCGAAAAACACGAGTGTTCTCGGAGAATAGAGAGCAATGCACTGACTGCAACAAGATTAATTTGAAAAGAATTCCCCCATAACTTTAACTTCTGTTATCGAAATCCTCTTCGTCGTCAGATGGAAAGGCTTTAAAGTTCTAAAGTTAGTTCTGTATCGATTTGTGAATTACTTCCTTGCTGTTTTTGTAATTTGTCCTGATCCTAAATCTGTATTATTTCAGGAACTTCAATACCATGTTCAAGACTTTTCAACTTCCGTATCTGCATTATTTGAATCCGGACAATTACCCACAATTAATCTTGTCTAATTGGTCGATGTGGCATGACATGCTCAGGCAAGGGAATCTTCTTTTTAAAATTCCATAGTTTCGCTCTACAGTATTTCTTGTTAATACATGTGCCTTGTTGTACCTGAAACAAAATACCAATCAACTTAACTAAATTACAGTTTCTATCATATTTCTTTTACAAAAATTATTTTAATATGAGTTTGGGTTTGTCATGACAAATGATTATTGTGTAATTTGGAACATTGCCTATATTATGTTAACACATTGAATGCCACGCTAATTTTGGCATGGGATTTGCCCGTCTAGCTAAACGGTAAATAACTACAAACTAAATTTATAAATATCAGACAGATTTTGCTAGTTTTTTTAAAAGGTTTAGCATGACATATCTGAAAAAAGTGGTGAATTATATAAGCCTACGAATTGTTAATCTTGGCTTCGCCGGTCACCCCTGTCATACGGCCAAAAATAAACCCGACTCCACAATATCAACATACAATTTTAAATAATCTGGCTGAAGATTTAAATCATAAGGTCAGAAAGTTTGTTTGAAATGAAATGTTTAAAGTAGTTCAAGAGAAAAAAGTTAAGAATATATTTTGAAACTCGCGTGATGTGACACTAAATAATAAATTATACACTTGTATTGTATATAGTAAGTATAAATATATTAAAAATCAAGTCAGGAGAACAGAATAGTTGGACAAATGGAAAATAATAATTTCCTACAATAACTAGTATCAACATATTTCTTCAGACACTGTTTTCCATGAGGAACCAATTCAAGATCAACACTGTGCTTCGTAATTTAATGTCAATCAAATTATTTCACAACCTGCTCAATGTATTTGATATAGAGAAGTATTTAAATTCTCATTCCAATTATTAAATAAGTTTTTACAAGCAAGAATGTTTAATAGACAAAAGATTTATGAAGTAAAAATTTATGCTTCTCTTTACTTTGTAATAATTAGAAAACGGAACCCTGTACATGGTCTAAGGCAGGGGTCGCCAAACTTTTTTGATTATCGACCCCTATATAATTTTCGAAATCTCCATCGACCCCCGCAAAAGTAATTTTCTGTTAATTAAAATAAAACTCTATTAGATACTATGTTTGTACATTTATTTTATGATTTTAAGTATTTATTAAAGTAATAGTACATAGTGTAACAATAGTTTTATGAAAAATATATTAATGTTGAAATATAAATACCTTAATATTTATGAAATAATAAGTAATTATAAGTAAGTAGAAATAATAAGTAAAGTAACTACGGATTTATTGCTTCTTAATCAATGACATGGGTGTNACCTAATGGGGAATCTCCGGGGAGCGGCCCTTGAAAAACATCACAGAGAGGGACCAGCTCGAAAGGTATAGATCCTTGCCACCCCTGGGCAAATATGAACATGTGTTTATAAAAACATTTTTTCAAGTTTAAAACCTAAATAGCACTTTAGAAATTGTAGTTGGCGCAAAAGATCGTGATAAGGAAGTATCCCTATATTATCCATATATTGATGTAACAATATATTAGAACATATTTGTTTTGTTTTTCAATTAAATAATGACCTCTTACTTTAACTAAGAGAAATTACTATAAATTGGAAAATTTTACATATCTGACTATCTTACATATTTACAGTATTATCTTGAATGTAAGTGATAAAAAAAAATAATTTATAAAATGCATTTCTAAACAGGTGCTTAATTTCATAGATATTAATTGCTTTGTAGGTGTAAGCAAGTTCAATAAAATAAATTTCACTTACCTCTTCACATTCTTCTTTGGTCTTTGGCAAGGAAATAAATTCCTTGCGCAATGATTTGGCTGACTCTGTGGACAAACTCTACAGATAGTAGACTGGCTCACCTGGAAACAATCTCTCAGGAGAAACTGAAAGCTTCCGGTGGCATAATAGCGAAGTGCTATAATCACTTGTTCCAAAGGTGACAGGGCATTGTTTAGAGTCGATGAATAATGTAAATCTTTTTCTACGATGGAGACTAATGTTCTAACTCTTACCTTATCCAGGCGAAATCTTTTTTTAAAATTTCGAAAAACAATTAGCAAATAGAAACAAAAAAGAACAGCAGAAATATAAAATATACCGACGAAGTAAATAAACATTCGTTTATTGCGCATGCGCAGTTACTCTAACCGGGAATATCTTCAGGTTAAAGTTACTTAACTCTGGGTTAGAGTAGAGTAGCATGTTATAAAATACTATCATAGGCCAGCGATTTGTTTTTCTTTTGCAAATGTATGTGCTTAAAAGTTGATCAAGAGTATCTACAGCCCCTTTAGTTGAATTGTAATCTAAGATAATTTGTGGTTTTTTGTCAGGTCTGTTGCAGACTTCTTTGTCGTGATGCAAAGTAACATTCTTGTTCTTTTTTGGAATGTAGTTGACAACAGTTGTGTCTGTTGTAAAATAAAATGATGAGCTGTGTACTTCTTTGTTTGGCATTTGTTCAGGAAGTTCCTTTTTATTTTTTCTAATGGTGCCAAGCATTGTCATTTTCCGTTTCAGAAGAAGTTGTCCTAAGTTGTAAGATGTAAAAAAATTATCACATGTCACATTGTGTCCTGAATACTCATAAGTAAGATCACACACTACTCGCATTCCTTGATTTCTCCGGCATTGATTTTTACAGCATATCAGAAAGTAAAATAGAACAGAATAAAAGAAAAGTTGCAATCAGAGCAAATACTTTGGCCCTTAGCCAACTTTCGATTTTTTTTTAAAAAAATGGCAAACACACAACAAATATCTATTCAAAAAATATTTTTCATTAAGATAAACAAAATAAACTGAAGAAAAAAATCCTAGATGTTACAATTTCTAGAAAACTAATACTTTTGTTTTGGAGGCAGCTGAAGGCCGACACAGGAATAGTGATACCACTACAAACAAGAGTCGCACAAAATTGTATTACAATGACTTCAATCTTGTTTGCAGGAATCACATTCCCATGTCATCATTCTCGATTTTGTAGCAATCACGTTTTGAACTAACAGCCATCCATCTGAAGTAAAGAATTGCTTCACTTCATTTATTTCCGCACATGATTCCATACAATAAGAAGAAACCTTCTCGATACTACATTCTATGGAAGCTTCTTCGGTCAAAATGCTTTTATTCATGGCCTTTGATGATGTTTCTTCATCAAAGCACTCCAAAAGCTTCTTTTGCCTCTCCAAAATAGCTTTTCTTGTAAATGGAACAGGCCTATTACACTTCTTCCTTTTCAAGCCAACAACTGTTGTTGTTAAACCTAAAAATATAAACTATTTTAAGAAGAAAAAAATTCTTTGTAGAAAATAAAAATCGCTAAAATAAAAATCAAGCAGTTTTTAAGGACCTTGGGAACTCTGCTTAAATAATAGAATTAATTTTTGGGCCATTTAATGTGTGATTTTCTTTTAAAGAAGTAAAACGGGAAAAAAAAATGTGTATGCATGTAATACAAAAATTATAAATACTTTTGTATTAATAACATTAAAACTCTTTCGTTTTCATTAAATGTCTCTGGTAAAGAATAGGTGTAGAAATTCTATTTTGGGACTTCAAGGCTGAAAACATACAATTGAATTATTATTAGATTTATATTTCAAAGGAGGAGTTATTTTTAAAATCTTGTCCCTCTTTCACTTTCATATTAGGAACCATTAAATGATTATCGATTATGCGTAGAGTTACAAGGTATGTACGACTTGGGCCTGTTTACACCATTCTCTGTTAGTATTGAATGCGGGACCGATGGTTTTCGCATGTCTCTTGCTGAATAACGTGTTCCATAAAAGATCTGCCGGGACCATCCGGAGTTTTATCCACACACCCTCCCTTGTGGAGTGGGGATGTGAACTGTTATAACCGCCAGCCTACCTTTAAATAAACATTTTTAGAACGCATTATGGCTTACAACTGAATTATTCAAGCTGAATACAACAATGATAACAGGGATGTAACCTTGTTATTATATGTATATATAGAAAAAAAAATACTTTTCTAATTTCAGAAAAATTTTTTAATAACTAGTGTTTTNCCTTGTGGAGTGGGGATGTGAACTGTTATAACCACCAGCCTACCTTTAAATAAACATTTTTAGAACGTATTATGGCTTACGACTGAATTATTCAAGCTGAATACAACAATGATAACAGGGATGTAACCCTGTTATTATATGTATATATAGAAAAAAAAATACTTTTCTAATTTCAGAAAAAAATTTTAATAACTAGTGTTTTAACATAAAGTTAAAGAGAACAGAAAAAATTGATTCAATAATTTTTATTTTAATAGTTCCTTATATATTCTCCAGGACCAAATGCTAACCCAGTTTCAAATGCATACAATATTTATGTTTTTCACTTTTTATTTCTAATTTAAAGAATAGAATTGTTCCTTTTCTTATAGGTTTTTTTTTTTATGGATTCTTAATATTTCTCCAGGACAGTTCTTTAGTGGTTTGCAAATATCCCCAAAATTAAAAGAGCTTTTTTTCTGTAACAGACTAAGAAGTTGCAGATTTTTAATATGTATGTCCAAAATGTAGAAGGGATGGTAGGTGTGTAAAACAACAATAATCTTACCTGCCGGTCTTCCTTTTTTTAGAGGAGCTGGAAGTTTCATTCCTGATGTGCTAGGAATAGGCTCAGCTACACCAGTAAATTGTGTCCTATTAAATAAAAGAGAAATTAAATAACCTCAGTTCACTTAGTTATTAGTACCGAAATATTTCCAAACGATACAAAAACATGTAGCATAATTTTATAGTACAAAAAAAAAAAAGAGAGCTTTTCAACTTTTGTCCTAAGATACTTTTTTGCTATACTTCTAACAATCCTTTAGTACTGGAACATTTAGATTAAGAAATTCTATGAGTTATCTATGAGTTGTCCCTCACAATGGATTCACCGTATTGTTTGGCGCAGCATGTCCTCATCTGGACCTTGCGCCACTAAACCCTACATTCAATTCAAATTCAATACCCTTTGTCCCTCACAGCTGAACTAGAAGCTAACTGAGAGTCATCTGCAGCTGAACATCCATAATTATGATCAATTAAAGCAGTCTCTACATTCTTTATTGGTTCAGCTACACTTAAAGTAATCTTTTGACCTTTTTCCCACAAGCTAAAATAAGCAAATAAGACAAATTTCTAAATATGCAATTAAGAGAGGAATAAAAACCTTTACATTNCGTGTTCATACATAAAATTAGATTCCTTAACTGTTGTCACTTTCGGATCATTAGACATGCTTATTTTTTTAGGAGCATGTTAAAAGGATATGGATTTAAAATTTAGTGACACAGTCCTTCGACACTTCCAACCCGCAATTTTAAAGGTGGTATCTTTAATACAGCAGTAGCTGTAGCATGATCACGCTCCTTTCTCATTGAATATATAATCGAGAGCAAACTCTTTATGAATGTCGAGAAAGAGCTAAACTTCCTTATTACAGTCTGTTACTTCCCATTTATATATTCCAGTCGATTGTTTGTCATGTTTAAAAAATTCCGATGGCGCAACTCATGTAAGTCCATTCCTAAAACAAGACAAACAAATTAAGAAAGCAGTAAATACAAAGATTCAAGAATAGATATAATTTTGATTGTTGTTGCTCATCCTCATAGATCTGACATCAGTCAGATCAACTCCAGAAAGTCGATGACAGGAGATAATCGGAAATTAAGTCCGCCCTGGACAGTCCAACACAATCAAGTATATGTTTGAGGCTGGTTGGATACAGCATTCTTTATAAATCGGGTAAATTTTTGTGCCATTTAAGTTGTCCTACATTTCAGGCTATTGAAAATGTATTTACAGCAAAAAAGGATTGCTTTCAGGTTAAGTAAATTTGTGGGGAGTATAAAAATCAAAGATTCTGATGTGTGTTTGTCTAGTGGGTAATAAAATTTATAGTTCCCAAATAAGGTCCCTGTTCTATTTTTTTTATTAACATTTTTCAAGTACAAATGTTTTTCAAAGTTGTACTGATCAGGGTTTTAAAAACTTACCAGTTGTTTTACAAGCAATCTAAAATTAAAAACCAAAAAACAATTTTCCCTCTTTGTAAATATTTCAAAACATTTTAATGCATGTTAATTGATCAATTTGAACCTGCAATAGTCAATATTACATTAATAACTCTGGGAAATAAATTGATGAGGTCAACAAGTGATACTTATAGACAATCAGATCCATGATTGAGTTTGTTTTACTGAAGTGATCGTACAACCAGACTAAATCATTGTTATTATGCTGTAAAGACTTAGCGAACATTTGTAAACTCTTCAAATAACCTGCTTTTTACCTTTCGTAAGTCATGCCAGTTATCGTTGTAATATTTAAGAATAGATGAAGGCGCCAAAGATTAATGCAGAAATGAGTATGACTCTTCAGATTGGCAGTAGGCCAATTTTGTCAAGTATTCCTGTGCCGTATCACAAACCTCCTTTGACACGCGCGTTTTTTTCTGGAGTAATCTGAAATGAAATACATCATAAACAAGCTTGGTATTTTGTTCAAAAGCGACCAAGGGCACTCGAAGAAAATATAAAAAAACTTAAATTGACCAATAAAATTGTATAAATAACTAATAAATAAATAGTTGAAATTTAAAGCAAATTAAATTTAACTAAGTACAAAAAAGTAAATATTTAGATGTAATTTATAGATTTATTATATAATTTAATTTTACACAGAAGTTTTCAACCTACATAACTTATTTTAATTTAAGTTTTAATTTCTTTAGAAATTAACAAATTTTTCTTCATAATTTTTGAATTTACTAAGTGATTTAATATATGACTTGTAAATAATATCACTATACAAACTGGCATAAATAGTTTAACATTCTACATTAATATTTCGATGATTTAATGAGTTTCTTCTACTTCTTCCACTAAAGGAAAAACTTGTTATTCCTAATTATAAGTGGTTAATATAATGTCAAGCAAAAATAACATTTTCTAACTATAAAACATATTAATTAATAGTATGGGACTAAAATTTGTGCCATTTTTTTATACTTCTCGTTTAAAGATGTGGAACAAGCAACTTTCAAGTTATGCACTCTGAAGATCACACGTTCAGTAAGCTCTTTGGCAGTAACAATGACGCGAGTTTCATGGCATTTATCATTGCTCTGTTTAAAAGGTTTACTCAGCCATTGGACAGATTCCTTATCCTCACGAGCTAGTAAACCAACTCCAATGATTTCACAATAAGCTAGGAGATAAAGACAAAGACTATGCAGCAAAAAAAAAAATTAAATAAATAAAAACTATGAATAACACCACCCTGCAAAAAAAAATATTTTTTTTCTTGTTTGTAAAATTTTAATTGATTTATATCAGCAATGATGATATCATTCCAAAATGCAAACTAAATATTATGTAACACGTAAGGACTTTTTACAAATGAAGATTAAAAAATTAACAAAATGCAGTATAATGCATACAGTTGCAACTGTAGTTAATTAAACACAATAATGTTGTTCATTTACAATATTATGATAACTTTTGTGTTTTTCTTGAAGTCAAGTAGCTTCTTTTTCGGGTTTTTCGTTTATGGTCCACATCACTGTCTCTTTTTAAACACCAACAGTAATCGGCCA